TTACTTTTAGTTTGAGCAGGTTTTATTATTGCACAGGCTTCGACAACCTGTCAAAAGCTTGTTCGAAAACTGGTGGTTGAACTAAATAACCAACTTTTACTTTGCAAATTGAGTTGTTTTGCTTCATGTGGAGTCTTTTCAGGTAGCTGGCATTTTGTCATTCCCTTATTTGCATGTAGGTAAAATAGCAGGCATGATACTATTAACTCAAACCCAAATAGAGCAGGACATAATGCATAATAAAGTAGGTAACCAAATAGATCATGCAATGGTATACAGTAAAGAGCACGTTCATGGCAAACGATATAGGTTAATCACAAAAGCTCTCCTAATTTATAGTCACTTTTGTACTTTGTCCCTTATTGTTATCTTTTTTATATCACCATTATAGTGTTAGAGTTGACTAAAAGTTTGGGAATAAAGTGAGAGTTGACTAAAAGTTATCTTTTTTATATCTTTTTTAATTACAGTATTTCCCCTTAAAGTATAACATCTTTTGTGCTTTATCCTGTAACACCATTTTTTATCAATTTGTTTGCTTGTTCCTAAAATCATTAGTGAATTCCAATATTTGAAAACACTCAAGACAATTAACATCTAAAAAATCAGCGTTCTTATAATAAAAAATACTAATATTTTTATATTTGTGGTCTTAGTTAAATTTCATTCCAAAATTGTTATTAAAAAATAAAAATGTGAAAATATTTTTAAAGTCTAAAAGTGATGGAGATATTGTTAGTTTCTCTTTGGGAATGTACATATAGCTAAACTTTTCTTTTAGTAGTTAGATGTTTTTTTAATATGGAAGTGTACATTAATGTGTTGGTAGTGCTAAAAAAAGATAAATATGGTTGATTTGAAGTTTAAAGTTTCCAGAGTTGTTCTTTTAATATACCATGCTTAGATGTTATTAAAATTTATTAGGATTTCTAAAAAAACTTATTACATCTAAAGATGTTTTTTAATCATCTTTTTATTTTTTCAACTATCTTTTTTTCTCACAAATATCAAAATGCAAAAAGTGCTATTATTCTAAAAAAATTTTTAAATAATCTCCATTCCAAACAAACCCATCTATAGACCTTTAATAATATTTTCATAGTCAGTTTTGGACTAATATTTTTTCCGTTATCACATGAGATGAGCGAGATATTTTTTTTTATCTAAAAAACCTGTAATTATGGGGATAAAATTTAATAAGACCTATATCCATAAATATATAATAATTTTTATTATGATGTTAGTGACATTAATTTTTTAAAACATTATTGGTCTTGAGTGGTATAAAATATTAGTGTTTGCCTGATGGTTTTAAGGACAAATAGACAAATTAAGAGAAAAATGATATTAGAGGATAAAGTGTAAAATGGCTATACCTTAAGGGAATTTAATCTAATTAACCCTTCAGGGTATCAATGTCTATTTCCATTACGCAATGTTAGAGTTGAATAGCATTTTAAAGTGAGAAAAAAATTACATTATGGGATAAAGTGTAAAACCGGTTAAATCTTAGGGGAAATTTTGTGATTAACCCATGCTACTTGATAGACATGTATGTTATTAATACCTCTTAATCTAAATAGTAAATCAAATTAATGATAGAAATCATTCTATTTATCTGAGTTTTGGATAATTAGGACATAAAAAGGCTAACATTCGGAGTGGAGACCGCAGACATGGTACAATTTAAGGGAAGGCAAAATTAAGAGAAGGCAATTGCCCACCGTCAATTATATATGGCTCCATCGCCAACTATAAACTAACTGACTTTGAGTTGGTATTCGGCATTTAGGCTCGACTCATCTATCTCACGAGCGTAAAATTGTACTCGAGTCTGATTTTTTAAAATAGGTCCCAAACTCAAGTTCGAGATTGAATTCGATTTGTTTAGAACACAAAAACAAACTCAAACAAGTTGAGCTCAATGAATTGGAAAAAAATATGCTCTGAAGTTTATCTTATAAACGAATATAAAGATTCATTACGCAATCGCTGATCAATCATTTCCTAATGATGTCCTCTAATATGAGTTAAAATGCTCAAAAACAAGCCCATAATGATAAAAGAACTTATTCGCTTTTCTTTGCGAACCCGAACGAGCTGCTTGCAAGCTAAGCTTGGCTTGACTTGTTTGATAGTCTTGCTCAACTCCTTCTACAAAAGAACAAGGTAAAATCAATGTTTTTAAAACTGGACCGTTAATTGAACCGGTGAAGTGAAAGAGTCAAGGTTCAACCGGTCGGACTGGTTCAATCCCAGTTTAATGAATTTTTTAAAAAATAATTTATATAAATATATATATATATGCACAAAATAAGACATGTAATGGACTAATTTAATACTTTATATGATGAAAAGTTTACTATTTTTTAATAACTTGGATTTTTAAAAGTAAAATTTTTAAATTATAAATTAAAACAAAAAAATTTCATCCCAATTTCAATTATATCTAAATCCAACCCAAAAATATCACAATATCTTGAAATTATACAAAATTCACGTCTATGAGAATTTAGACATTGTGAACTTAAATTTTAATTTATATTTTGGGATTTAGAGATTGCAATTTAAAAAAGAAAGTTTGAAGTTCGAAGGAAGTCAAGAGAATCGAAAATAGAAATGTAAATTTAATAAGAAACAAAAAATGAGATAAAAGTGAGTGGTTGTGGCATTAAATAATTTGGGTTAAAGAAAAATAATTCTTTTGTAACTTTTTTAATTTAATGGACAAAAACAAAATTAAAAGATGGAAGAAAACATCAATAAATTAAAAATAAAGGGGTTTGATTAAAAAAGGAGTGACAAAAGAAAAGAGGGCAGAGAGAGAGAGAGAGTTGAAGATTAAAAAAAAAGAGCCATGAGATAATGAGATTTTGTAAGAAAAATGGAAAAAAGAAATATAAGTGTTTATTTTATATAAATAAGTTATCAAAAAAACTAATAAGATGTGATGGTGCAATGGTTAATACATTGATCTTCTATTATAAAGGTCTTGAATTCAAATCTTGATAGCTGTATTTTGCAAAACTTTAAAAAAAAAAGGGAGAAAGTTGAAAATCGGAAACCACCGGTTCAATCCTGTTCGGCGGTTTTAATGGTTCGATCGATTTTTGATCGATTTTTTAACAAAATCAATTATGACATAGAATTGGACCGGTGCCATGGCCGGTTTGCTGTTCAATCGGTCGAACCGGCCGGTCCGGTCCGATTTTCAAAACATTGGTTTAGCTATAGAATTCCTACAGCATTGTTAAAAATCTGGAAGAGTAACAAGGTGGGAGGTTCTTGTTCATGAGTCATTGTTGCTGTTCTAGAACAACAGTCAACTTTTCTTCTTCTTCTTGTTGAAAGATTTTTGTTGGGCACACTTGCAAAACATTGAGCAATGCACTTTTGGTAATAAATAGGAACTAAAGAGCCTCGGGAAATTAATCAATTTACTTTTGGTTGTTCGATCTGCCCTTACTAGTCAACCGACTATTAAAGGTTTACCTGTGTCAATTGACATGTTCATTAAATATCCAAGTAGTTTGCATCGAAGAAAACTCGGCCATGAGTCACCGTGATCGAGTTGAATTTACACAAACTTTTTTCTACCTAAAAAAGAAGAAAAAACTTGATTAAGGATGCTTGGATATTGATTTGACATATCCACTGGAACACGGTAAAATTGTCATATTGATTTGATATATGGTAAAATTGTCAACTTTTCAGGGCGGATACGGGCATCAACTGGAACACGGTTGGCACCATTTGGGTAGAACTAATTAATGGAGACAGATGCACGCAAACTCTCTCCCCTTCTGTGAGAGCTTCTCTCTCTTCAATGAAGCACATTTCTCCTGTGTTGTGTTTTAGGAGGCCACACACCAAACTGTCCAAAATTCAAAATAAACTACTATATCGGTAGAACCCACCAAGATCTGCATCTATCATCTCCAAATTTCATTCCCACACTCGTTCCTTGGCAGTAATTACTTAATAGGATAGAGCCCTGCACTTTGTTCTAATTTGTTGACAAAAGAATTCACAACAGCTACTCGAGGGTGTGCACTAGATAAACTCCGTTCCATATTAACCCGCCAACCACATGGAGAGATAAAACGTACTAGACAAACCCTATGCCACGGCACATGTCTCAAGAGAGATTCGAATTCGAGATAATAGGAAGGTATGGCGCCAACTTTACTGTTTCGACCAATTCAAAGGACTTTGTTCTGATATGTGGACTTTTCCTTCCTCCGTAGAAAAAAGAGATCTCTTTAGGATTTGGTCATGTTTTGTTCTTTTGATTAGGTCTTTTAAAACTTTCAAGGGCACTAATTGCGTTATTTCTTTACTTTGATGGTATCCTTGGAGGGTAGTTAGTGGAGCAGTCTACAAGAAATAGGGCAGGTTTATAGAATCAATTATGGAGTGGCTGCATTAGCATTAACAGAGAAATCTTTTCATCAAATGCTGGCATGTGTAATATATTCCTATGATTTGGAAAAGAAAACTAATAAAACAACGATATATAGGATCTAAGCAACTTTCTATTTATAAATTATCATCTGCATGAGATATTTGGGACCTCAGAACCTACTGAAGATATCAATGTTAAAGGCATGCACTTAAATTTTTTTTTTTTTTGTCAGCAACGATACATTTGTATAACCCAACTAGATCAAGGGAGTGTTATGGCACAACTTTTAAATTTTTTTCACTGCAAGTGAGATTTGAACCCTCACCTACAGTCCAAGGAAGAACTTAACCTCTGGTGACCACTGTGCCATTGGCCCAGTGGTTTAAAGGCCTGCACTTAAAAAAGTTGAATTTGTTGAAAAATCGTGTCCACACAAGTCTAAATCTCTGACATATAAGCATCCAACAGGTTTTTGAAGATTCTATTGCACATAATATCAACCTAGTACACCTTTTAAGTAGTTTATCAAAACACAAAAGTTTAGTACATTCTCTTCTTTTTTCAAAATGCAGAAATCTTGAACACTTTGAGGCGATTAATCAACACAAAAAAAAAATATTATTATTGACAAATCCGTTGCATTACATGCAATGAACATAACCCAAGTTACTGAAAATAACAATAATCTATGTTTCCAGTACAATGAGATTAGGTGGAAACATTATTAAAATAGGAGGTTGAAATATGGTAGTGAAGAGCAGGAAATTCATCTAAACACAGAGATCATTGAGCAATGTATCAGCATGTTCTTGTATCGTTTTCCAGGCCAACTCAACATGCCTGTAGTCAGTTAGAGATGCCCCAACAGCGAACCTGATGGTATATACTCCTCCAATCATACCATGAGTCATGTAAACACGACCAGATGAATTGATGGATTCCAAAAGTTTGCGGTTGATCTCGTTCAAATCTTCCTCACTTGACATGATCTTTTGGTTTCCAGTTAATGCAAATGGAGAAAGCCTAAAACATACCACAGAAAAATTCCTAGGAATAACAACTTCGAAATTGTTATTCTTTGCTATCAGCCCTTCGAAATGTTTGGCCATTTTGACATGGTTTCTTATGAATTTTTGGAGGTTAACGATGCCATAACTTCTTAAGACAAGCCAAAGCTTCAAAGCTCTGAATCTCCGACTTAATGCTATCTGCCAATCTTTGTAGTCCACCACTCGATTAGAGTCAGTGGCTTGGTTCTTCAAGTAATCAGGCTTTGTCGACAAGGCTTTTATAAGGGCATTGGGATCCTGAACCCAAAGGCAGCAGCAATCCAGGGTGGTAAAGAACCATTTGTGTGCATTAAGACTGAAAGAATTTGCACCATCAATTCCATCAAGAAAATGTTGAAACTCTGGACATATACATGCACTGCCTGCATATGCAGCATCAACATGAACCCAAATCTCATGCTGCTTAGCAAGCCCACAGATCGATCGTAATGGATCCACAGCAGTTGCTACGGTTGTCCCAACTGTGGCACATAAGAAAAGTGGCACTAAACCAGCATCAATATCTGCATTGATTGCAGAATGCAATGAATCTGAAGAGAGCCCAAAATTGGTGGATTTTGTCGTTTGGATGACACGAAAATTGTTCGAATTTATCCCAGAAATTTGTGCAGCCTTTTGGACAGAAAAATGTGTTTGATCTGATGCATAAACAACCAGCTTTCCAATATTTGCTTTTCCAATTTTTCTAAGCATCTGATCCCTGGCGGCAGTAAGGGTGGCTACCATGGCCTCACATGTTGTACCTTGCAGGACACCTCCTCCACCACCACTAAACAAGAATGAACTCGGAAGGTTCAGCATTTTTCCAAACCAATCCATGACAACATTCTCCAACTCAGTTGCAGCCGGGGATGACATCCAGTTAAACCCAACGGTACCGAAGCCAGTGCTGAGAACTTCGCCAAGAAATCCAGGGATGCTCATTGAACAAGGGAAAAGAGCAAAATGAGTAGGACTTTGCCAATGTGTAATGCCTGGAAGAATATCTTTTTCAACATCATTAAGAATTGTTTCAATGGATTCAGGGTGATATGGAGCTGAATCTGCCAAACGGCTCTTAAGGTACCCTGGATCTACTTGGCTTCTTACGGGATATTTTTCAATATTTTGATAATAATCAGCAAGGAAATCTATGATCATGTGGCCTTGCCTTCTGAACTCCTCAATGTCTAGAGGACTATCAGGGTTTGAAATTTGGCTAATCAATTCACCATTACAAATACCCATTTGGGGAGGATATGAATCAAAAACTATGCTAGAGTACTTGTTCAAATGGGATTGTGTGTTTTGATATAAATTTATAGGAGTTTCCATTCAACTCATGGTTCTAGTCATGGGCTGTGGCCGCGTCGCTGTCGCAATTGTTCCACGTCCATCGCTATATATGGGCTGGATATCAAGTAATATACACATTATAATGTATAAAATTTTTTAAAAAATCTGAAAAAATTATTAAAAATAAAAAATAGCATAAAAGGCATAATCTAAAAAAAATCTATATTGACTCCGAATTGACTTGGATATTTTGGCCGATTTCATGCATCACGGATTCGAATCGACCAATATCGATCGAATCAGAGCGAGTCACCGCAGATATAGAATTATTCACGATTCGGGAATCAGTATTGTACTGGTCCCTCCGTTCTGATTATGACTCAACCGAGATAGCTAACTATGATTCAACTGAACAAGACTAACTACAGCTATATATTCGATAATACTCTGTAGTTATCTGATTAGTTACAAACTAACTGGCAATTGTCTGGAGATCATTTTGTGCTGCTTCTACGAGTCACACAAGGAAGTCTATCTTCTACCTCGTTTCACTAATGAAGTTTTTGACGGTCGCAACTGGAGCCCTATACAAGAAAATGGGCCGGTTTAGAGAACCAATTATGGAGTGGCTGCATTAGCATTAGAAGAGAAATCTTTTTTATCAAATGCTGGCATGTATACGGGTTATATTCCTATGACGTGGGGAAGAAAACTAATAAAACAAAGATATGTAGGATGTAAACAACATAATATTTATAAATTACCATGAAATCATCTTAATGAGATATTTGAGATCTCAGAACATGGATTAAAGTCGTGGTCTCAGTTGCGATTGCAATCGTTGCTGATCGTGATGGAATTGTCACGGTCTTGATGGAATTGTCATTAGTATTAGTATACAATTATCCCGAACTTAGATACTTACCTATACATTTGGGAATAACTTCACTTTTGCTTTTTTAAATTTGTAACTTATTCTCACTTTGCAATTTAAAGTTTAACTTTGGATAGTTTATATCCCAATTTCTCATATTTGTCTCGCTTCAATCTACTTAGTGACAACAATAGCAAAACTAACTGTTCGTACACATAAGACCTCTTTTGCCCAACTGATAGGGATTGTGAGATGGTAGTAATATACTACTACTCTCTCGTGGCTGAAGTATAAGTTGCATGTACACTTCTCTATTCCTTTAGTTTTACTAATGCTGTTACCAATTGGATTTAAGCGGGACAAATCTAAAAAGTTAAATATACAAATTGTTCAAAATTAAAATTCATGATATAAAGTAAAAATAAGATACAATTTCGGGGGTGGAAAATGAATTAGTCTAAACAGTGCTAATAGTAAAAAAAAAAAAAATGTAATATGCGTGCTCTTTATTTGTACATCAAACAAATGATACAACCTACAGTACGAATGATGCTTGCTTTTTTGTCCCTCCATTTTCGTACAATTATCAATCGATTTCCCCTACAGTACGAAGGACGGTTGTGAACAACCATCATTGCTTCGACTGTCGGCAACTTCATTTGACTGGCACGATGTTGCCAGTAAGGTAGGTGAAAGAAACTGACCAAAATTGCTGCCTACCACCGCTTTTACTTAAATATCATATTCAAAATTCCCACGTTCCCGATGTGTACACTTTGAGCACCACTCATTTTTAACCCACACATTCAAGGCCAAGTAAATAAAAACACAAGATATGGAAGTCGCTGTCTCTATAATGTGAGAAACTGTTTAAACGACACCATCAAATCAGGTAAATAAAAATTTTTACCTTAGAGCCACTTTTTGCAAATGACTAGAGCCCCCACTTCTTGTAAATGACCAGACTTTAGAGCCCATATTGAGTGGCTACACAAGGAAATGCAAGAAGCACTACAAATGGTATTGGGCGTTTCTCGCTTGGCCTTTGTACTAGGCCCGACTACACAAGGAAATGTCACGCAAGTCTACAAAGTTCTAAAGGCGGAGAGCATGTCTAAGTGGATAGTTGGGATAGTAATGAATTTTGCAAGGAAAATTCTCAATGTGGGGAGGGGGAAATGTCCTATATTTGTTTTGCAAAGATGCAAAGTTTTAAACGTGAGGAAAGTGAAATGTTCCGCATCAAAAGAAAATAGGGAAAAGAAATAGTATATAATTTGAGACCCATGAATTACTGAATAAGTTTAAGTTAATTATTTTGAATTCGTAAAAAATTATTTGGGCCAATCCGTAGGTTGTAGGTTGTGGACTTTATAGATTGTGCGAGTTGGGTATCTTGTGTTTTGATGTAATTTATAGGAGTTTCCAGTCAGCTGGACAAGATTAACTGGGTAATGCGCGTGTTGTGGTGGTTGAGCAAAAGCGAGGGTCAAATTGACAAAATTCTAATGTTTACCGCGTGCACAAGTTTGTGTTACTCGTGGGGCATGAAAATCACATCTTGATCAAAGTGTGAGCCAGGTTGAAAATCAAGGTTTATTCAATGTATCCATATCTATCTGTTTTTAAGTAGTAAAAAATACCTGCATTGCACGTGTTACTGCACTAACAAATTTAGAAACATGTGAGACAAATTTTGCACACCTTCAGCCGACACATGTTTAACCAACACGCGTTTAAACTTCAAAACCAAGTAAATAACAATTTTGTGTTAGAAAAATATGAGAACAATGGGTTCTAAAAATTAGTATGCAAAAGGGTTCTAAAAATGAACGCTCTAGGATATACACAGCCCCTATTTGACAACATATTACACCAACATGGGCAAACCTTTGAGCACTCAATATTTGTACGATTGTCAGAATATTCTTCAGAGTGCTTATTGTAGAGGAGAAAGAATAGTGAACTTTTTGTTGTTGTAACCATTTGATAGTTAGCTATATAGGGTACTATGTCTGAACAATAAAGAGAACAAATCCCTCGTTCACTTCAACAAACAAATGAAGAGTTACAACAGTCATGCACATTCACAAACGAATAATTACACATAATTGACATAAAACAAAAGTCCCACTATTTTGAAGTTCTCTTACATTTTCCAATTAAAGACTTGAAGGCTAAACCAGGCACAAAGCTAACCAAAGTAGAAAACGAGGTAGGCTATATATCTATAGGATCGAAAAGCAGAAGTTGAGAGTTGAAGAGTGATGGATTGGAATTCTGGCGATCTTAGTTAGGAAGGAGATATTAAAAGCCAGCCTGGGGTGAGTAAGAGAAGTAGCTGAGTGCAAAGAGTTGGGAGACCAGCCTCTTTCAGAAAGAAAGAATGAAGCAGAAAAGGAAAGGATATCATGGTGCACAAGCAAATGGAGTTAGGCTCATTTCCTACCCTAGTTTGAAGTAGAGCAGAACCATCCTAGTTCAGAGCTGTACCCATCCCAAAGAAATTCATTCTCAAAATGTTTTAACACGTACTAGAGTTTGGATATATATTGGTATTAGTGAATTTCAATTTGTCCATATCCAAAATCCAATTTAGATTGGTTCGACAAGTTTTTCAGTATTCCTTTTGTAAAATATTACAGATAATCCTAACTAGTTTTTTGGCTCCTGCATCAATTACCAGATCTTTTTATTTTTTTTCTTTTGAGTAGTTGTAAAGCTGTGTAAGTGTCACGCCTCGAGCCCGCACGTGCCCGTCACCTGACATCTGCCGTACTTCCAAGTTTCACTTAAGAATACAAGGCTACATTAACTAGTTTAACTTTAACAGTAATAAATAATTTAACTAAATAAAGTGCGGTATGAATTACATATAAAAGGAAGTCTACGAATATTCAAAACGTTCGTACATTTATTCTCTGATGGAAATAGTGGAAACAAAAGTAAATAAGACTAACAGCCAGAAGTAACTAGCCTGCCAAATGAAATTCATCTAAACTAATAAAAGTCTTCCTCAGGGTCTTTTACGTAAACCAACTCATACTCCTCAGAATCTGCAAGAATGGTAAAAAGTGGGTTGAGCGACAAATCACCAAGTAGGTAATAACTACCCCTCTGTGGACCATGTACTCGTAGCTTTGTAGATACATATACATATATATATATATATATATATATATATATATATATATATATATATATATATAGATACAAATCAAATCATTTGCACATCGATCACATCCGAAATTTGAAAGTAACGTCATTTATAAGACAATCAGTAGTAACCACTGACCAGCAATTTAAAAGCACCTTATTGATAAATGAACATGGAAAATCATAACGTTGTAAATCATTTCGTCTCAATTCACAAGTCTCTTCACATCCACTCATAAATCATTTCGTCTTAGCTCATAACAAGTACATGTGATAACCGATTACTGAGTACTCAGTATAGAGATTAAACCCTTTCTAGGTGGCGACTAATAGGTTTCATGACTACCGATTGACCTCTTTTCATACATGGGTCAATCGGCCGAACTTTGTACCAGGGTACCATGACCTTGCCAATCGGCCGGACTTTATACCAGGCTACCATGGCTTTGTTAATCGGCCGGACTCTATACCAGGTTACCATGACCTTGTCAATCGACCGGACTTTATACCAGGCTACCATGACGATTAGACAGGACTATAGCCCCTACCGTCTATTCCATGACTGTTTTAAGATTTACTTGTCAAAAATTGATTCCACACATCACATACATAAATCTTTGATTTCAAAAAGATTCAGCTTGTTTGGTACATAATAACATATCAAAATATTTCAAATAAGTCACATGGTCCATTTTTGTATAGTAAAACACTACTACAAAAATGTCGTTTTACGACATTTAAAAGCGTCATTATAGCTCGATGTAATGACGTTTGATCTATGATGACGCTCTGCTAGAAACGTCGTCCATTCCAGCGTCACTATAGGTTTATGACAGTTGCACGGGTCCTAATTTGTAGTTCTGTTGGCATTTATAAATGTTATTATTTATCCTTTTAATGACACTTTTAAATGACAAGAAATGCTGGAGAACAGGTAAGGTTATATGAATCTAAAGTGACACTCGATGCCTGTCATATATTGGATCTATCAAGACACTTCTATTATGTAAGTACAATAAGA